TTTTTTTTGGGGGGGGGGGGGAGAATCTCTTTTTTTAATCCTGCCTCCCACACCTTACAGCAGACAAATACCAGGTGATACTGAGAGGTGTGCTATCTGTTTTTATTTGATTTTATGCTACTGAATATTTTTAATAGCTAGCCTTAGAGACAGGAAAAGTAATAGGCTGTAACAGTACAGGTTAAGCTGCTCAACAGCATAATGGGAATTGTAAATAAAAGCTCTGGTAGTGAAGCCTTGTGGATATAAGGGGGAAAGATCGCTATGAACATAGTTTTGATTTAATTTAAAACGTGAACAAATGCAAGTCTTTAAGAAAAAGTTTGTAAATCAGCTTGGTTTTGTTTGATTTAGGTACCAATGGTGCAGTTACTTTAGTGGGCCTGCTCTCAAGTTTGCTTGGGGGCATGGTGGTAGGTATAGCCTACTTTATAACACAACTCATTTTCGTGACTGATCTGGAAATATCTGCTCCGCAATGGCCCATTATTGTGTTTGGTGCAGCATCTGGCTTACTGGGATCAATTGTTGATTCATATTTGGGAGCTACTATGCAATACAGTGGTAAGATTCTTATTTTTTTTCTTTTTATTTTCTGTTTACCCTCCCCTAATGCAGTCTAAAAATGGACTTGAATTTCTAGAAGGGCTGAGGACGTGATTTTACAGAAGTAGCGATGCTAAGGACAAAGGGAACCAAAGTGATGGACAGTAAGGGCAATTGGCCCTTTTTCACTTTTTGATTTGTTTATCTTGTTACTGTCTTGTTGATGGCTGAACAAGACCAGAGGTCTCCAACATGATTACCTTGGAAAAAGCAATTGCTGCCCTCTCCTTTTCTATATATCTAATTATGGTAACATTTTATAAGATAAAATGTCAGTTTAATTTTTATCCATTCACTCAGATTAAGTTGTCACTGCAGACAAGCTTCATTTCTAACTCTGAAGACTTAGCAAGTCTCAGCTTTAAGAATTAAATAAGAAAAACTCCAGTAAAATGTGCACAGTGGTTTATGTTCTGGGGTTTTTTCACTGCTTAATAGAGTACTGTTTTCTGTAAGTTAAATTTATCACAGACTAGCTGTGTCTTTAAAAAAAAAAAAGTTTTAAAAAAAAAGGGTTGGCTGGCTGATTCTGAGTGATTTCAGAATTTAATTCTGGCTGATTCTGAGTGATTTCAGCTCTTAAGGATCATTGTCTGAATAAACACTACAGACAACCTTTAGGCTAACCTGTAAATTTACCCTATGTTTAAAAATTGTTTAAAAACCTTATCTGGTATTACTGTGTTTAACAGCTGATTTACAGAGAGATCTTAAGTTTTCAGATTTTGTTGTCAGTATATTTATTTCCTGGAGGTCAAGGTTTGAATGTGCAGGTGAACTGCCTGAGAGATAAAAGTCCTTTAAATCTACCATCACAGTGAGAGCTGCAAACTGTTGTTGATGCTGTGGATTTGGCTTTCCAGCAGTTTTTATGCTCCTTGTAGTTCCGGGAAAGTCAAAAACATAATAGAGTGTTTAACCACTTAAGGAATTTTTAAATATTTCTATACTGAAGAGGAAACACTTAAGTACTCAGACAGTGTTTCATGCTCCTAATGAGGCAGATGCATTAAGAGAACATGGTAAACCAAGCTAATGCACGCCTACATCTTCCATGCTCAGCAACTTACTTTGCTAGCTGCAGCAGGGACAGTATGCAAGTTCCACAAATTACTTTTATAAATTCATAAGCCCTTCTGAAATTTGTATACTATATATACATATGTACTAGGACGTGTGTGTGTGTGTATACGTGTGTATATGTGTGTATGTGTGTGTATATATATATATATATATGTATGTTGTGACATAGATGAAATAGTGCTGCTCATGTGGTGCACACTGTTGGGTTTTGTATCCCTCCTTAGTTGAACCCACTTTTCCAATCCCTATTCAATATGGTCTCATAAGAAATACTCCAAACTCTCTGCAGCATCTTGAAAAACAATAAATAAGTATGGCAGTGATAATAAAAAACTGTGTCTCTTTTTGCAAACATTATGCTACCAGTGCTAATCCCTTCTGTCAGTGTTTTTCCTGTTGGTAATCTTCCTAGATTTGGTTTATGTAATAGTCTGTGATACCCACTGTTACTATGAGGAAGCCCTTCCTGCCCACACATTTATTAAGTAAAACTTTGTCTGATTTGTGTATATATGCATATATATTCACAAAAATGTATTCCCAGTTTTTTTCTCGAGAAAATTTAGAACTTTCTGAAACATAGCAAGTGTTGAGAGTTAAACTATCAAGTTTCAAGTTTGATTTTTCTGTAGTTCTTTTGCATTACTCAAAGCTAGATTTAAATGTGTGATTCAGAGGTAACAGCTGTAGACCCACCAAGCAGGATCGTGTGGGGGTTTTAAGTTTTGTCTGAGGTGCTGAAAATTTTTTTTGTAATGAAGGAGCAGCTCAAAATGAAATTTCCATGTTGTGGGTATTAGCAGATACTCAAATTTACAGAGAAAAATAATGTTAATGTAAAATGTACTGATTTGGAATGTTTCGTTGTCAACCTTAAATGTGTGCATATGCACATACCCAGTTATACTTCACTATGGTGAGTTGGCATTAAAATCAAGCATGCTGGAATTTTATGCTTTTATCAGCATGTAAAATAATGGAGCTGGACAAAACATGGGATAACGACGTGCGTACAGTAACAGCTAATGAAACGCAGTGCTAGAGTACTGATACAGAGGTAAAGCAGGAGATGGCTTAAGTACTAGGAAAGAAATCCAGCTGCTGATAGTATAAAACAGCTGTGTAAATACAAATGATAAATTCAGTCTCTGTGAGGAGCTTGTTTTCTGTCAGATCAAGTAATAATGTTAGTTCCATAATTTTCCTTTGAAAAAAATATATATCTTCTTGACCGGAAATATATGTTGCTAATCAGTTGTTTCTGTTGGTTCAAAACAGCATCCTTTGCTTTAGAATGGCTTTTGGAACAGCTTTTTCCTCTCCTGATACAGCTCATTTAATTCCTTTCTTTACTATGAAATTACATAGAGAAGTAGACCTGACAGAATTGTAACTTTTCAAAGAAGCAACTTCTAGCATAAAGTACTGCATTTGTATTCGCATTCTTTGAAGCTACCAGATGAAACTAACTGTAATTTAGTTTAGTTTGTTGGTGTCTCTTCTTACAGAGGTTTAACACCGTAATGGTAAACTAAATTTAGGAAGTTGCATATACTTGGTTACTAAGTTTATTTTCAGCTTGGTTGGCTTTCTAAAATGAAGTCTTTATCTTTTTCCAGGTTTTGACCAGAATATTGGCATGGTTGTCAACCACCAAACAAAAGACTCCAAGCACATATCTGGAAAACCTATATTAGACAACAACACAGTAAATCTTTTTTCTTCTATAATCATTGCCTTGGTGCTTCCAGGTGTGGCATGGTTTTTCTGGCCTAGGGGTTGATGTGGTTTAAGGTTTTCTGCATGTGATTCATTTATGTTCAGTCTTACTCAAAGACTCTGAAGAGTTCTCTTCAAACCCTCTTGAAAAGAGGGATCTGAAACTTTCAAAGAGCCAGAGGACTTTCCATCTCAATTTAGTAAGGCTGTAAGCTTCATATGGCAATCAGCATCTCTCAGGGCAAGGAAGGGATTTTGTCAGTATGCTCTTGCTGCTCTTCAGATGGATGTAGATCATTGCCAAGTGAGGTGAAGCACTTAATTTATTCTCATGGAGCTGAAGGGTTGGTGTCCTGTGTTCTTGCCAATCCCCAGCATCTGGAAGGTCAAGAAGCTGGAAACAGAAGTCCAATCTACAGCAGTCAGTGTGACAGAGAATTGTCCAAGCCAGAGACAAAGTACGCTGCAACTTTATGTAGGCAGTGGTAACATGGGTGAAATGGGTGAATTCCGATATCTTCCATAATCTACAGTACATAAGGTTTTATGGAAATATTTTTTGGGGGGTGTGGGGGAAGAGATGAGTAAGCCTTGTTGCCTATTCTGTATCCTGATGCTATCTGCAATTCCATGAGAATAGGGTTCGTAAAAGTAATTCTAGTACATAATGTTTGAAGCAAAAGACTGAATTTAAAATAAAAGGTTGCTAGTTTTTCCAGTAAGAATAATAGATGTCTGTGGGGTTTTTGACATCTTTAATTTCAAAACTAATAATATTTATGATTGTCAATACTGTGGTACTTAGTAAATTATCTAAAATTAAAGATTACAGTTGTGAATTGGCATTCATGTCTTTAGAAATAGAACATTTTTTTCTGTAAGCACAGGATTGTCCCATAAGGTTTAGCAAATTATACTCCTTTTTTTTTTTTTTCTCAGCAGTGGAAGTATTTTCTGTTTTGTTTGGGTTGCTATTCAGAGACAATGGCCTCAGCCAAAGAAGCTACAGAGGTTATCCTCATAGTGCGTGGGGAAAGTCTCACTTCTAAACCATTTAAAAATGGGAATTCAACTTTTGGTGCTCAGGCTCCAATGTTAGGTGATTGATTCCATCTTCCATCGTTAATTTTTAAAAGGGTGGAAGTGATTTAGCCAGCACAGATTGTAGTTAGAGTAACACTCATAAGAATCTGTCACTGTCAACATTCAGAAGGTAGGGCCCATACTGTTAACTTAGAAAAAGCTTTTTTCTTTTAGAGAAAGGCAAGTATTAAATATTTGAATTTTTTTTTTTACAAATGTATTGTGTGTATTGCCTGTCTTAATTCATTTGACTTTTGTATTATGTCACGTTCTATGGGAATATTTAAAAATTTTAACACCTTCCATGTCAAGTTTAGTCTTTTGAATTTAGCACTGGAACTAGTTCCCTGTATATCCTATTACAAAGCTGAGATTTCAAAGTAGTAAAAGCTTTCTGAAAAGAACAAACTGTGTAGTTGCTGTATGTGTGTTCCTGTGGAAAGGCACAAAATTATAAAAGGAATATATGCACTTAAACTGTAACAATAAACACTTGAGATTTTTATGCATTGTTTGGATTTATAATGCTTCTAAATAAACACTTGATTAGTCATCTTTTAATATTTTTATTAATACTGCTGTGATTTCTGGAATTAAGGAAGACACAATTTTTGTAACACTTTTTCTTTCCATTAGATGCCTTATTTTTATATTCTTTTGTTGCCTGAAACAAAGTATACATTCAAACACAAGTGGACATGGTCAGCTTTTCACTATTTAATATAGGTCTCATTTAAAAAGCAGCTTGCCATAGAGAGAAGGCATCTGATTTTAAATTCATAGCAGCATGAAATGCTTTAATCTGTTATCAGAATGAATGGGATCTGAGTGAACTTCTGCAAGTAGGACCTTCAAAGGCCATTAATCAGAGCTTTTTATTTGTCATGTCTTAGTGATGACACTGAATTGCTCTTGAAATTCCTGCTCATAAATATCCAGTATTTAGAAAGATCTGAGCACTCTTGAACTCTAAGAAGGACAGTGTTAGCTCTGGGTATAGTATATTGAGTGGAGTGTAGCTTATGCAAATATTGTTACATTTAACGACATAGTAGCTGTAAAACTTTGTTTTTGGCAGGGGCAGTAGAGGATACAGGGAAGAAGTTACAGAATGTGACAAACTGCCTGAAAATTGACGTGTTGTCACTAAGAGAAGTTCCTGAGCTCAGAGGAGCAGACAGGGGTACCACCTGACTGTGTGCTACTTGAAGAGGGAGAAAATGCAAGAAGTAAAGGGAAAGTGATGAAGAGACGAGGAGCTAGGAGAAAACCAAATAAAGTGATAGATTTGAAGGTGCAAAATAGGTCACTGCAGTAAGCAAATTTAATTTAATTCTTTAAGCAGTCAGAATATTTGTTTAGCTTCAGAGCCATTGGTACCATTAGTGTATGAGGTAACTATGTCAGTGATTTTCCTTTCATAATAAATAACACCAATATTTCCACAGCACCAGGAGGATACACTCAATATTTTTTTTTTAGTTGAAGAGGTTACAATAGCGAAGCATTGCTCCTCATTCTTGGCTTGATTTCTAGATGTGTTAGAAGTATAAGTAAGAGCAGGATTATGACATAATTGCGAATGAGAAATTTTTAGGCAGGTCTTGCTTGGGCTTGATGTCTTGATCCTGAGTGTTGAAGTATGCTGGTATCAGTGTCAACAATCTTCAGGGGGGTTTTTGTATTTCTATTTTGTTGTTAGAGCTGTAGATTGTCTTGGGTCTGTGCATGCTGCTCGAGTGGTCCATCATTGCAAATGTAAACCACAGTTCCCTGGGACAACAAATGAAAGTGGTATAAAAAATGGAGGGGTATTTTTTGGGGTATTAAGAACTAGCTGATATTCAGAAGACTGACTTTCTGACAATAAGGGCTGAAACCTCTTGTAATACTGCTGGTATTTTACAGAATCTGATTTGGGCACTGGATAAATGAGTCAATAGAGTGATGTATTAAAGTCTGTTAGGATTGGGCATCTTAGATTTGTAAGTAGGATTTTTTTTTTCCCTGTGTTTCTCCTAACAGTGCTTTGATCCCCATTCAGCCTTTTTTAAAATGTCATTATCCAGCATTTTAAATTGCAGTAAGTCACTCTTCTTCAAGCAGGAGTTAACCTGTTTTACACAAAGTTTATTCCCTTAAAGCTTTGTAGGTACATTACAATCTCTGCTTCTGGCTATTGCCATAACTGGATAATAACTTTCAATTTAAATACTGCTGTTGCAGGGCTGGGTGCAGGTCTCCCAATCATAGACCTGTTGTAATGTGTAAATTGGAGCAGGTACATGAATTCACTCAGACGGTGTTCCTAAGCCTGCAGCCACTTTCAGTAAAAATGCAAGCCCCAAACGAAGATAAAATATGGAAATGTGGAAATAAAGCTGCGGGGCAAATGGCAGTTTGTACTTGAATATTCCCAAGTCTGCAAAATTTGAGTCTTAAGTAAAGAAATTCTACCAGGAAAGCATTTGCTTAGTAGCTTTTCTGGACTTTCATTATCCCTCAGGACAAAATGGGTCAATTTTGATATCTTGTTGCTACAGCCACTAACTAAATCATAGAACAGCCCAGGTTGGAAGGGACGTTGACAGATCATCTGGTCTAACCTTTTGTGGGAAAGGGAGCCTAGATGAGGTTATCAAGTACCCTGTCCAATTGCATCTTGAAAACCTCCAGTGATGGGGACTCTATCACATCCATAAATGTTAGAGTTTTCCTTGAAATACAGTAAGGTGGATGCACAGGAAAGTGGAAGACCACAGTTACATGAGTTCTGACCAGGAAGCCTTCCACCTGACTGACAGATAATATGAAGGAGTAATGTCGTACACATTATCACTTCGAAAATATTTTTAGAATAAAATTATCCTCCCTTAGCAGACCCTCTAGCAGGATTGGTTGCTCTGTGCTGCTCTGGGATTTGCTGTTTTAGAGCAGGGCCAAGTGCTGGTTCCTAAATCCAGGTGGTTGACTGAAGAAGAAAAGACTGGGTTTAGCTGAAATGTCGAAAAACCAGTCTGACGTGTGTTGAGGGAAGGGGTTTTGAAAAGGGGAATGCCACCAATAGGGAAACAACTGCCAGTTTGAGGGGAGCTACTTGGTTGGACCTGCAGAGCCACCTGTGAAGCCCTGTAAAACTTGTTGCATCTCTCTTACCTTGTGGCTGCTTTTTTGTAGCTTTATTCAAACAAGCATAATTCAGAATTAAACACTGCAATGCAATCACCATCCAAATTTGCCTTGGAGGTTCAAACGTACACCACCAGCAAGGATGACTAATTTAAAAAAGTATGCATGCATTTTGCAATTAGAGGAAACATCAGTGGAAAGCTGTAAGAAAAGCCTTCTGGTGCTCATTTGTTAATATTCTGTAGTAACTTCAGTAACTAGTTTTGTAAGGATTTTGCATTTGCAGCCGTAGCTGCAAAGCTAAGAAGGTAGAAGGACATCATAAGAGATCATGTCAGCCCTAGGAAATGACATCATGCACATAATGCAGAAGCAGACACCTGTGCACATATCTCTTGTTGGGAAGGCTGAGCTCTGCATGGCAGCCTTCTGGTGCTGTAACGGTGGATAATTTCAATCTGGTTTTAATTCTCTTTTTCAGTTAATCCATTTACAGGCTTCATACAATCTCTTGAATTCCTAGCATGTTTTTTGGATAAATTCATCAATCAGCCTCTGCCCTTACACCCCAGCACACATACACATTTATAAAAGCTTTAAAATCCCCATGAAACAGCCCACGAAAGCCGCTTAGGAGTACTTGGCTGGTATCAATCATGGGGGCAAGTGACTGTGCTCTGTTGTTTCTTACTGAAGGGCGCTTGCTGCAATGACTTCTGCAGATTTCAGCCCAGTACCAGAAAAACAATGACTTCTGTCATCCCAGTTTTTTTGTTACCATTACTCATCGTACTGATATTTCATTATTCGTTTGCTGTTTCCTAAATCCTGTAATCATTCCACTGTTGAAAGCTGTTGCAATCAAACAGTCCCCCAAAGCAACAGTAGTTTCAGTCTGCGTTAAACTGCCAAATGCCTCTAGTTATGGTGTCCCAGTATAGGTGCATCAACTTGTTGTATCAAGTGTCTCCTCCTAATATAATTTAAAATGAAAAACTGAAAGCAGCTGGTCCATGATGCATTGGGATAAGAAGCATGAGTGTAACTCGCCTCTGGAATATTGGAAATCCTATGTCTTTTGGTAGGTGCCATAGAAAAACAGATGTCAGCATCTGCCATTGCACTTGGTACCTGCCCAAGGTAGTTGATTTAACCTGTGCAAAGTTATGCCAGAAGAAAAGCACATACCAACCAAACCCTAAAAAGTGCCTGAAGCCATTATCACAAGACAAAATGGAAGCATAATTTAATTCATTGTACTTAGAGTTTGATGTTCTATGAACAAAAATATTCTCACACTCAGTTGCCTGTAGATTTATGAGTAATAAACCACTTAGATTCAGATAGGTTTGGAGTGGGTTAACATATACTTCATTTGCATTCAGAACTCACCTGAAATAAAAATATAATCTAGATGTTAAGCTTAGATGACTTTCCTTTTCCTTTCTTATCTCTAATGAAGCCACATTTTTACTATATATTTTGATTTTTTTCCCACAATGGAAAACTGCTAGTCATCTATCTTCCCTTACTGTTGTATGTGAGAAACTATCTTCATTCTTAAGATACAAAAAAATCACAAGGACAGAGGCAAGGATAAACCCATGTGTAGTTTTGAAAATGCTTTGCCCAATTCTTCTTCGCAGATGTTTTGCACTAGAGTGCAGGTTCTATCTTGATTATAAAGTGCCCCGCTTTATTGACTTGTACTCTTAAATCATACTTAAGCAAAATGTTCTGCCTCCAGCCCTCCATGCAATCACAGGAACACAGGCCTTGCACAGTGCATGGCTTGAGTGATCTTCTAATAGCATTTTTAGGAGACTAAAGTCCAAATTCACAAAATACAAAGGTCTTAATCTAAATATTCTCCAACCCAAAATGTTCTCCAACCCCATCTAGTGACTTTTGCCTCAAATTTCTCCCTTGTTTGAGAATGTCAGTATTTTCATAGCCAGTAAATTACATTTCACTCCTGGTATTTGGCATATTTAAAGATGTTGTATCTCAGATTTTTTCCCTGAATTCTTGGTTATTTTCACTGTAACAGGGCAGTGTTGTTACCCTATATTTTCTTGAGATTTTTGAGAATATTGCTTTTATTGACAAAAAATAAACCTTCCATGTGCTCACATAATGTTTATGCTAAAAACTAAGTTACTGCTGCTACCAAACCATTATCTACCATAGGAGAAAAGTGAGTGCTTAAAAATTTAGTAAGTGGCCGAACTGAGAGGAAGAAAAGAATGAAAGAATGCAACAGCTTATTTCATATTATGGAATTAACATATCATTTAATGGCAGACCGAATTCCAGCAGGCGTTAATGTTGATATTCAGCATTTAAGGATTGTCCTGAAGAATGAAATATATTAACAATTAACAATTAACATTTGTACATAGCATTAACAGCAAAATCCTACTAGATGTAAC